AGAGCAGCAAGTCTATCTGGTGATGTTGATTTGACTCGATCTAGTCAGATTTATAATCTGTTATATCAACGAGAACCAGGCGTACAGTTATTATACGTCACTCCAGAAAAGGTAAACCAAATTATTGCTTCGATCAGGATGCTTAGTATTGTAAATTTACAATTGCCTTTTCTAAACTACTACTCAGTATTGGGGGTCATTGATAAGTGTAGACATAGTTATAGTGGAATTGCAAAAACCACTGATTGAAAATTGGAATGATGGAAATCAATGCTATCAGTGTTCCTGATATACATAGAAAAATTATAAAACATCTCTACAATCTCTTTAACAAGAACCACAGACATCTGATTGAAAATTGGAATGATGGAAATCAATGCTATCAGTGTTCCTGATATACATAGAAAAATTATAAAACATCTCTACAATCTCTTTAACAAGAACCACAGACATCTGATTGAAAATTGGAATGATGGAAATCAATGCTATCAGTGTTCCTGATATACATAGAAAAATTATAAAACATCTCTACAATCTCTTTAACAAGAACCACAGACATCTGATTGAAAATTGGAATGGTGGAAATCAATGCTATCAGTGTTCCTGATATACATAGAAAAATTATAAAACATCTCTACAATCTCTTTAACAAGAACCACAGACATCTGATTGAAAATTGGAATGGTGGAAATCAATGCTATCAGTGTTCCTGATATACATAGAAAAATTATAAAACATCTCTACAATCAGTTAATGTTACGATGTATCTGATAACAAGCCTCTAGAGCTGTTTCATTGGCATATTACATGCTTTGTGTGTCAGTTTAATTTATTTATATTTTGTCCTATTATAGATTGTAGCCAGTGATAAGTTATTGAGCTGTTTTCAACATCTGTATAATCGTAAAGTTTTAGATAGATTTGTTATAGATGAGGCACATTGTGTTAGTCAGGTAAACAATCTTTTTGTCTTTAATTCTGAAAATTTGACTGTACAGACTGGATAATAGAAAAAAGACAAATTGATCGTTCTATAATGCTAAATTCGTCAGCATTCCCTTGGTAATAAGCTAAGAGTTAATTAAAGACTTGATGGAAAATAAGGGAACCCAACTTTAAATGTTTATAGTATAAATTGAAGTTGGTACTTACTGTTTACTTGAGTTTACTATATGAGCCCTCTTAACCCCTTACTCCCCTTAAGCCGCTC